TGTTCTGTTTTAGAAATGACCCATGTACTGCTGAAAAGAATGTATATTCTGATGTTGTTGGATGGAACACTGTATATATCTAATAAGTCCATTTGTTCACAGGTGTGATTCAGTTCTGTTATTTGCTGATTTTCTGTCTGGTTGATCTGTCCCTTTGTGTCAATGGCATGTTAAGGTCTCCTGTTACAGTTGTGTTATTGCTTATTTGATTTTTCATTTCTGTTAATACTTGTTTTGTATAGCTGGGTCCTCTAGAATTTGGTGCATATCTATTTAAGATTGTTATCTCTTCCTCTTGAAGTTTTCCCCTAACTAGTATGTAATGACCTTCTTTATATCTTTGGATCATTCTTAGTTTGAAGTTCACATTGTCTGCAAACAGAATAGCTACCCCCGCTATTTTTTGGGTTTCTATTGCATGAAGTATTGTTTTCTATCCTTTGATTTTCAGTCTATGAGTTTCCTTTTGAGTTAGATGCATTCCTTGCATACAGCATATGGTTGGATGTTTCTTGATCCATTCTGCCAGTCTGTTTCTTTTAATTGGTGAATTGAAGCCATTTACTTTAATGGTTATAAAACTGTTATATATTGGTTTATTGTTGACATGTTATCTTTCTGCTGTTGTATCTTTACCTTTCCATTCTATTTAGTTGTGTGTCTTGCTTAGTGGTTTTTTCCTATGTGTATCTAGAATATTTTTCAGTATTCTTTGCAGGGTTGGTTTGGTGATCATGAAGTTCTTCAGCTGTTCTTTGTCATGGAAGTATCTTATTTCTCCATCCATTTTGAAGGACAGTTTTGCAGGGTACATCAGTCTGGGTTGGAAATCGTTTTCCTTTAGGATCTGAGATACTTTACTCCATGCTCTTGTTGATTTCATTGTTTGTGTTGAGAAGTCTGCTGTGATTCAGATTGGTGTGATTCCTTTATAAGTGATCTGTCTTTTCTCTCTAACAACTTTTTTTTTTAGTCTTTTTCCTTTCTATCGGTACCAGGGATCGAACTCAGGACTGCCTGCTTGCAAGGCAGGTGCTTATGCCACTGAGCTAAATCCCCAGCCCCTTCTCTAACAACTTTTAATATTCTGTTCTTATGTTGGATATGTGGGATGGTGATTATTATTTGTCTGGGTGTAGTTTTATTTTGGCTATGGCTATTTGGAGTTCTGTATGCTTCACTAATCCATATGTCAGTTTCCGTGTTCATGTTTGGGAAATTTTCAGCTATTACTTCTATAAATAGCCTCTTGATATCATTTGTGCTGTTCCTTTCTTTTTCATTTATCCCTGTCAATCTTATGTTGTTTTTCTTTGCATCATCTTGCAACTGTTGAGTTATTTCTTGATTTGTTTTTATTTTTGAAAGATCTTTCCTTTCCCTAGCTGCAATCTTGTTGAGGTCTGAAATTTTATCTTTGCTTACATTAAGATGGTTTTGCCAGTTTTCAATGGAATTTTTGATTTCCTGTATCTTTTTGAATCTACTTCATGTATTCTGTTTCTCATACTGTTCAATCAGGGCTTCCATCGTTTTGCATTCTTCCTCTAATTTTTTAACTGTGTCTTCTTAAAATGTGTTCAGCATTTGTTTCATTACTTTTATTATTTCTCCTTTTATCTAGGAGATTATTTCTGATTTGAGTTTTTTTATAGCTTCTTGGAGTTGCTTCATTATTTCAGTTGATATCATTTCAGGCATTTCAGGTATATGGCTTATATTTTCTTCTATGTACATGGCTCCAAGTCTTTCTTGGGATGGGCTGGAGGTTTGAGGATTGCATTTTTGTCTCTCACCTTGTCATTTTCCTGTATTTCCGTGTTTCGAGCTATGTTCCAAAGCTTCCCTTGGGCATGTTGGAAATCACCTCTTGAGCCCTTGGCTCCTGCGTTTGAATGGAGGTTGCTGAGTGTGACCCAGTCAGTCCTGCAGGACTTCCTGGGCCACTTTCTGTGTTCCAGGAAGCGGGCAGGCTTCGAACTGCTGGGGGTTATGGTCCAAAGTTCTCCTCAGGTGGCCTCAGCTCCCTGGATTGACAGAAGGTCCCTAGGCGTGGTTCAGTCAGGCCCGCAAAACCTCCCAAGCCTAGTCCAGTGCTTAAGGAAGATGGGTGGGCACCTAACCACTGGGAGTGATGGTCTTAAGCTCTCCCCAGGCCAGAGCAGGCACACTGGAACTCACTTGCAACCTCAGTTCCCTGGATTGAAAGAAGGTTGCTGTGTGTGTTACAGCCAGGACTGTGAAAGCTCCCAAGCCTAGACCAGTGTTTCTGGAAGCTGGGCGGGCACCTAACTGCTGGAAATGATGTCTTAAACTCTCCCCGGGCCAGTGCTGGCACACTGGAACTCACCTCAGGCAGCCTCAGCTCCCTGGATTGAAAGAAGGTCCCATGTTTTTAATTTTTGGGGAGATACCCAGCAGGGAGTTGCTGGGTCAAATGAGACCTCTAATCCTAGTTTTTTAAGGAAGCCTTACACTAACTTTCACAGTGGTTACATTTAGTCTACATTCCCACCAACAGTAGAGAAGCATTCCTTTTCTCCCACATGCCCACCAGCATTTGTTATTAGTTGATTTCTCAGTAATTGCTATTCTTTCTGGAGTGAGATGGAATCTCATTGTTGTTTTAATTTGCATCTCTAGAATGACCAGTGATGTTGAACATTTTTTTATGTATTTATTTACTATTGGTAGTTCTTCTTCTGAGAAATGTGTATTCTTCTCAGATGTCCATTTTTGGATTGGGTCTTTAAATTTGGGGTGTCAAATATTTTTTAGTTATTTGTGTATTCTAGATATTAGTCCATTGTCTGAGGGACAACTGGCTAAAACTTTTCCCACTGTGTGTATTGTTTTCACTCTGTTGGTGATTTCTTTTGCTGTGCCAAAGCTTTTTAGTAGGAAGCAGTACTTTGATTCTTTGTAGTATTTCCAGTGGTACTGGAGTTTTGTTGATGAAAATCTTTGCCTATACCTGTGTCTTCAAGTGTTCTACCATTCTCTGTTCCAACAGATTTAGTGTTTTTGTTTCAATATTTAGATCTTTAATTCATTTTGATTTAAGTGCATAGTTATAAACATGGGTGTAGTTTTAGTCTTTGGCATGTGGAAAGCCAGTTTTTCCAGCACCATTTATTAAAGAGGCTATCTTTCTTCCAGTGAAAGTGTTGGCTCAAGGGGCTGGGGATTTAGCTCAGCGGCATAAGCACCTGCCTTGCAAGCAGGCGGTCGTGAGTTCGATCCCTGGTACCGATAAAAATGAAAAAAAGACAAAAAAAAAAAAAAAAAAAGAAAAGAAAAGAAAAGAAAGTGTTGGCTCCTTTGTCAAAGATATGGTAGCAAGTGTGTTTGGAGTTATTTCTGCATCTTCTAATTTGCTCTATAGATAATCCTCAGGTCTGTGTTTGTGGTTGTTGTTTGGCCAAAACCATGCAGTTTTTATCACAGTGATTTTGTAGTATAATTTCAGTTCAGGGATTATGATACCCCCGTCTTGCCTTTGTTGCTTAGGATTGTTTTTGCTATTCTAGGACTCTTCTGTTTCTAGATGAATTTTAGGAATATTTTCTCTACTTCTGTGAGATATGCCATTGGCATTTCGATTGGAATTTCATGGAATCTGTTTATCAGTTTTGGGAGTATGATCAGTTTTACTATATTCTTCCTATCAATGAGCAAGGGATATCTTCCCATTTTCTGATATCCTCTTCATTGAATCTTCTTTTTCAGAGTACTGTAGAGAACTTGTATTTCCTTTATTAGATTGATTCCCAAGTATTTCATTTTTTTCGATGCTATTATGAAGGGTATTGTTTCTCTCATTTCTCAGTGCATTTGTTGCATTTGTTGTTTCTGTACAGGAATGCTGTTAAATTTTGTATCCAGCTATGCTACTGAATTTGATTATTGAATTTACAGGTCTTTTAGTGGCGATTTGGGGGCCTTCTAGTAGAGTATCATGTCACTTACAAATAATGATAATTTAACTTCTACCTCTTCTATCCTTATTCCTTTTATTTCTTTTTCTTATCTAATTGCTCTGGCTAATGTTTCCAGAACTGTATTGAATAGGAGTGATTAGTAGAAGTGGACATCCTTGTCTTGTTCCTGATTTTAGACTGAAAGTTTTCAGTTTTTGCCGTTTAGTATGATGTTGGCTATTGGTTTGTCATAGATGGCTTTTATCAGATTGAGATAAAGACCATCTATTTTGTGTGGGAGTTTTATCATGAATGGGTGTTTTGAGTAGGGGTTTTATCATAAATGTTTTTCTGCACTAAGACTTAGATTTGAAGTTTAGTGAGTTGTCTTGTTTGCTGTGTGACTTTGGATAAACACATTAAATGTTTTGACTCTTTTCTGGACTGTAAATAATCAGAACAGTGGGGACATTCAAGCTGTCTCATAGGGTTACATTAAATACAGGAGAGAAAAGTGTGTGAACAATCATTTTAAACCAAAAACGTAGAAGAGTTACATCACTTGGGGTTATGGTTAAAGTCATCTTGAAAATCAGTACCAGACTAGAGTTCCTTGGAAGGCCTTTGAACCACCTGCCTCTCTGCTTGACACCTGGCTTCTGTTTAAAGCTTCTCTGTGGCCAGAAGTTTTTGAGTGTTTTAATGGTAGCTGGGGACCAGCCAGCCTCCCTTCTCTGGCCTCGCTGAGAGTTATTTATGAGTGGTCAAGAGATCTGTGAGATCATGATTTATTTTTGCCTAGTTAACCTGTTGTACCCATTGTTGGTTGTGTCTGTCTTTCTAGTTTGTTTTCTGCTCTCTCCTTCCTTCCCTCCCTCCCTCCCTTCTGTCTTCTATGTCTGTCAATGGGGTATATGTTTGGCTGTACACTGTTGATTCCACTACCATTGATGCAGAAAGAAGGGCATTGTGTTTGTTCTGGGCCCCTCCCTCTCATTGCTGGGCTTGAGGAAGAACAGGCACCCTGACACATTGTCGAATTACTGGCTGATTGTTTAAGTCTCTCATTCTCCCTTGCAGATCGAGTCTAAGGACTGCACGGCTGGCTCCTCCTAGTATGGCCAATGAAGAAGATGATCCAGTTGTACAGGAGGTAACTGTTGGGGCCACAGGGAGAGGGACCAAGTCCGTCCCACATGTCCTAAGGCCAGTCTGTGACCTGTTGCTGTCCTGAGGACTCCTAGTCTTTGCTGTTCCTTCTGCCTGGAACCCTCTGTTGTCATCCTCCACATACCTGCATAGATAACCCTTCCCTTCCTCCAAATCTCTGATCTAGTACTGCCTTATCACCGAGGCCTTCTCTGAGCAGCTCTGAACTTGAGTTTATTTGTTTTTTTGTCTATTCACCACTCTGCAAAGCCAAGTATTGTAGTAACCTGGCACTGAATAGATACTCAGTGACTGCTGAATGAATGAATGGGTTTGACAGCTCCCCCTTGCTGAGTTTACCAGATTCAGTGATGCAGCAGCTCTTCTGATCCCCTGTGTGTTGTGACATAATAGTGAGCAGAGCCATGTCCCTGTCCCTGGGAAGTTTTCAGGGTGTGGACGAGACAGATAAGAAAGGAGTCTCAGGATGCAGAGTGTGGGGAGGCAGTCTCCAGGACTGACATAAAAGAGAAAGTTGTGTATAGGCAAACCCGCTCTGCAGAATCCTTTCAATCCATTGCTTAGGTCTTTGGAAGTTAAAAAGCAAAAGGAACTGCACCTAACCCTGACCTCCTGATTTGTGTCTGGAGCTTCACCTCTGGTTTAAAAGGCAAGGGCTGGGAGAATGCCCCTGTATGTGAATAGAGGAGCCTGCCAGGTTTGGGGGATGCTGCTGAATCAGTGTTTGGATTTGAGTTATTTAAATATCTTTAAGCTGCAACAACACTGCTGAAAGAGGAGTTGTAATATAAAAAGGCAATTGGAGATAGCGCAGAGGGAGCCCAAGGGTCTCAGGACAGGGGCAGCATCCTCTTCAACCAAGGCCCTAGGGTGCTTGTGTTCAACGCTCAGCTGACTCTTTAAAGATAAGTGAATCCTTGAGGTTTAGGAAACACAAGAAAGGCTGAAGGGCATTCTAGATAGAGGGAAGAGCGCGTGTAAAGGCCTTGGAGTAGGAGAGCACAGTGTTGATATGAAGGGCTGGGAAATGGCTAAGGGGTGGGAATGGTTAGTGTGAAGAATGAAGAGGAGGGTCACAGAGGTTCTTGCAGACCACCTTAACACAGGGTTGACAGGCTAATCCAGGAGAGGTGGGGTGGGGGCATAGAGAGGAAACCCAGTGTAGATAGGTCCTGTCCTGCCCATCTGTCAGCATTTGACCTGGAGCCATCCTGACCGGGGCAGGCCAGGGGAAGTGTGGTCTTGCCATGTTGGAGTGAACTTGATAAAGGGGACAGGAAAACTCTTGCTCTGGTGCCCTGGGAGCTGGGGCGGGGGCGAGTCTTGGGTATACCCAGTTTGGAGACCTGGCTTTTAGCATGAATGAAGCCATTTCCTCTTCCTCTAACCTGCCTCTCTGAGGTCCTGCGCCAACTAAAATTGGAGTAGATTGGTGCATGCCTGGGTCAAACAGTGCTGTGTCCTGACTGAGTCTTCTCCTCTTGTTCCCAGATTGATGTGTACTTGGCCAAAAGTCTGGCAGAGAAGCTCTATCTGTTTCAGGTAATCATGGGTGACTTGAAGGTTAAGGGGGAAAAGTCATGGGTGGTAGAGCTAGGGAAGGAGGTGTGTGCAACGTCAGCTTAGTGTTCTTGCTTCCAGGTAAGATGAGCTGGTTTCCTTCATGTACTGGGCAGATTAATGTCTATTTTCAAAGATGGGGGCACAAGACATATGCAGTAGGCAGAACCATGCTGCGGTTAAGCTCAGGCTCGGGGCTAAGACTGCCCTGATGGAGAGACAGCTCTGTTGTAACTTAGCTTTCAGCCTTAAGACAAGTTCTTTAATCTCTCTGTGCCTCAGTTTCCTCATTTGCAAGATGGCCTGTTTCATAGGGTCCATGTTAAAGTGCTTGGACATTGCCTGGAGTAGAGTTGACACTGACAATGGCCCCTGCTGTTGGGAAGTTGACAGGCTTCTGGAGCAACTTGGGGAGAGTCTTAGTCTTCCTAGTCTTGCTGGGCTGCATTGAATATCTACTGTATGCAGGCACTGTTTACAGCTCTTTTTCAAGTTAACTTACTGAATCACACAGTAACGCTACCAGGGTAGCTGAAACACAGTTCACACATTATGCAATTTTCCTGTGTAAGTGCACAGTGCAGTGGATTTTAGTCTAACCATAAGGCTGTACCACCAGCACTACAATTTATTTTAGTACATCTCCTTCCCTGCAGAAGATGCCTCATGCATATTAGTAGTAAATTTCTGGTTCCCCTGTAGTTCCTATTCCTAAATTTAGCCCTAGACAAGCATTAACTTACTTTGTGTCCCTATGGATTTGCTTCTTCTGGCCATTTCATATAGTTGGAAGGGTGCATACATGGCCTTTCATGTAGAGTTGACTCATGTTATACTGTGTATCAGTACTTCATTTTTTATGCATGAATAACACTCCGTTGTGTGCTATATACTATAGTGTATTTATCCATTCATCAGTTGATGGGCACTTGAGTTGTTTTCACTTTGTAGCTACTTTGAGTAATGTGCCTATCTATGTACAATTTGTGTGGCTATGTATTTTCATTTCTCTTGGGGTGGGTCTTTAGGAGTGGAATGGCTGGGTCAGATGGTAACACTACATTCTTTTTTGTTTGTTTATTTTGAGGACCACTGGACTATTTTGCACCATTTTATAGTGTCTCACCAATAGGGTGGTTCTTCTAAGTACTTTGATCCTTATACTGCACATGAGAAAAAAAGACACGAGGTTTTTGAATCCTCAAGGCTGGGACAGGGTGGTAGTGGCAGTGCTCCACACCTGTGCTGGAAGAGTCCTGGGGTGTGTTCCCCCAGGTCTGCTATTCAGCTGAGGGGCTGGAACCCTGCCTTTGGGGGTCTTCTGAACCTTGTCCTTGACTGACTACAATGATGGTAACCATGGCAGTGACACCATGTGTCCACTGTGTGCAGGCCCTATGTAGTGCCAGCTGTTTTGCCTCATCCACAAATACGGCACCTTGAGAGGGAAGGACACAAGTATCAAGTAGAGTTATGACTGGAGCCCAAGCCTGTTCCAGACTCTGCATGGTCGCCACCACCTTCCCAAGCCTGAAGTCAGGTGATCTTGGAGCAGCGCTGGTCCTCAGCAGACCAGGGGCCTCCTGGGTTGTTGTAGTGCAGGCCTTGCCCTGCACTGGCCCTTCTCAAAAGCTCAGTCCAGACCAGCTATCCACTTGGCTGTTCCTGCCACTAGAACTTTCCCTAGTTCCAGCCTTGAAGCAGGGAGGAATCATTGTTATACTAAGTGAGTTTTTAGAAAATGACCACTTTCTTGGCTGGACCATAGCTGGTCCAAAAGAACTCGTACCTCTGGCTTCCCTCCACTAGGTTCACTAGGAGGCCATCATGTGTCAGGCAGTGATGGACAGAGCTTTTGAGGATGGTCTAAACCATGGGTCATCTACACTGTGCCACTCGGGTTAGGGGGTGTATGTGAGAGTCCCTATGGAATGGTGTCCAAGATAACTGTATAAGAAGGTGGGCTGCAGAGGGCATGGAGCAGGTCATTACTACCGCTCCCTTCTATCTCCAGTAGTATGTTGTCGGAAAATTTACAACATACAGAAGATGGGAAAATGGGGTCATGAATGTTCTGTGTCCCAGCGAGCAGTGAGCAGCCCTTGGCCAGCCTCATTCCTTATTTCCTCATTGTCTTGTTTCCCACCTGAGTGGCCTGTGTGCTGACTGCAAGACCTTAGACCCTTACTCTCAGCGACCACTGCCATGCTTTGGAGGTTTAAGTTTCTAGTGCTTGGACACGTGTCCCTTAAAGTTAAAGATAACTCCCTAAAATTGCAAAGATATACCTTTAGATTGCCCTTTGGAGGGAAGCTAAGAGGAACTAATGTGAATAAGACTACAAGTGAGACTGGAGGAGCCTCAGGGAAGTGTGGGTTGGGGCTTCGGGGTGCTTTGGTCTGTGTTTGCTTTGGGGTTGGAGATGGATTTTGATATTCTTGACTGGTACCCATGAAGACCAGCTCCATTCAGGACTGGGCTGGGCAAACTGATTGCCCCCTTCTTCTCCCCAGTACCCTGTGCGTCCAGCCTCGATGACCTACGATGACATTCCACACCTGTCTGCCAAGATCAAGCCCAAGCAGCAGAAGGTGGGGCTGCCCTCTGTGATGGAAGTGGGGGCGGGAAAGGGAGGGCAGGAGAACTGATGGAGCAAGGAGACCAGAAGCCAAGAGGAACACACCTCCCTTGAAAACAGTGGAAAGGGTTTCTTGAAAGGGCAGTTCTGGGGAAGAATGAGGCTAAAGATAAACAGATAACCGGGTCCTGCATGAGCTTAGAATCCTAGGATGGAGCAGGAGTGAGTAAGATGCAGGGCTGGAGTAAGGAAATGTAGTGCCCAAGAGGGAAGGGGTGATGGGACATGGAGCGTATGGGTGGGGGAAGGGGTCACAGCTCTAGCTCCTGACGTCATGTGGTAGATCTGTCCCAGACTGCCAGTCTTTCTGAGTTTTCAACTGAAGCTGGAGATGTAAATGTTTTTAAGAAATCCCCCAATTTTTGAATGTTGATACCTCATTCAGATCTTTGGCAGTAGAGTGGGTAGAGAGGCTGACTGCATGTCCACCCCCAAAACAATTACTCTGATATTTCTGTTGGAATTTGTATTTGTGGCTTTTGGTATGGACTGAAGCCCAGAGTCCTTGGGAAGAGAGCTGTGTTAGTCTTGCTTCTGGGCAGGGACCAGGTTGGGGGTGTCCCTGGAGATCTGTGCCTTGGGGTCCTCAGCAGATGGGGGTGCTTGGTGCCTCCAGGTAGAGATTGAGATGGCCATCGACACCCTGAATCCCAACTATTGCCGCAGCAAAGGGGAGCAGATCGCATTGAACGTGGATGGCGCCTGTGCTGATGAGACCAGCACGTACTCCACGTGAGTCCTGGCCCCATGCCTCTGAGTACTGCTGTGATCAAGTGGAGCCTTCACAAGACCTTCACTAGACCTCTAGGTGTCCTTTGCTCTGGAGGGCTTGGCCTGTTCATGCCCTCCACCCTCTTCAGCTAGTTCCTTCTACCAGGGATCTAAGGGGCTGCAGGAAAGTGGTGCTCCCATCACCACTTATCGCTTGCTCCTCTGGCTCCCACCTGAGATAGATGGAAGCAGGCTTATGGCCTTGATCCCTGGCTGATACATTTTTGTGTCCTAGCTGGGGTGGGCTGTGCCCAGCAGACCCTGGTTGTGGGTCTTCCCCCTTGACCTTGAGATTCTCCTTGTGCTTTCAGGAAACTGATGGACAAGCAGACCTTCTGCTCTTCCCAGACCACCAGTAACACATCCCGCTATGCAGCTGCACTGTACAGGCAAGGTACGGGGTGCTGGCCATCCTGGGGCAGAGCAGGGTGAGGTAGAGGTAGAGAGGAAGGCTGGGGCAGGGAGAGCTTACCAAGCTTCAAGTTGAGCTCTAACTCCCCTGAACACTAGACCTCGCTGCAGGGTCTAGGAAGAGTGGAAGTAATAAACTACAGTTGTCAGGGCACTGGAAGGGGACACCCCTTGGGGCTTCTGGCCCCTGTCTGATAGGGCTGAAGCTCCAGGGTCATTTTCCTTTTGGGACACAGATAACGTGTGGAGCAAGTGGCAGTATTTTGTTTTGTTTTGTTTTGTTTTTTTCCCTGCTCTTTTTTGTGTTTAAAGTATTTTGTTTTTAAATACAAGGTACTTATCACCCAGTCCAGAAAGATGAAAACATGTCCCTCTAAAAACTTGTACACAGATGTCCATAGCGTCTTTATTCATGGGACCCCCAAAGTAGAAACAGCCCATAGGTCTGTCAGCTGGTGCACACAGAGACAAAGTGTAGTGTGTCCATATACCGTAGCTGTGTACAGGAATGAAGCAGTGGCTTGTGCTGCCACATGGATGAGCCTGGGAACATTGTATTCAGTAAAGAAGCTGGGCTCATAGTGCCACACATGCCCATCTCTTTTATGTAAATGTCTAGAATAAGCAAATCCACAGACACAGAAAGTGGGTTAGTGGTTTCAGGAATTGAGGGCAGAGTTATATGGGGATTGACTGGTTCTTTTGGGGATGATGAAAATGCTCTAAAATTGAATGTGGTGCTGGTTGCACAATTTAGGAGTACATTAAAATATACTGAATTATATGTTTTAAGTGGTGAATTGTATGCTATGGGGTCATAGTTCAGGAGGCTGATAAAAAGTATAAGGTGCTTAAGTATTTATAGAGTTTGTAAAGCAGTAAATAAAACTAATTTGAACACTGAGGAAACAAAACAATCAAAGATAGTGTCAAATAATTATAGCCTTGTATTTGGAACTGTGTCTTGAGACCATAATTCTTTAAAGCCACATCCCTGGCAGCTATAACTTTAAGGAAAAGTCCTTATCTTGGTCAGAGATCATGGACACCCCTTCACTGGGCTCTGGCAGGGCCACTTCTTTAACAGTTTGGCGCTAAGGAACTTCTTAATGGGATGGGTGGGGTTTTGGTTAGAGATTCGAGGCAGGAGGAGGAAAAATCCAGCAGGATGTGTTGGGGCTGTGGTCTGGTGAAGACTTGGACTTGGTAGGTGCCTAGTGTCTCTGGAGCAGGCACTTTGGAGAGGAGTTGGAACCCAAGTAGGGGGTCTTTGAGTATTGAGGAATATTGGAGGTGGACCTAAAGGAAATGGCTTTTGGCACCAGAGTCCAGGCTCACATCCTGGTGTGGGTGTTTGCCTGTTGTGTCCAGCAGGACCAGCTAGGGTTGCAATGGTTCCTGACCTGGTAATCCTAAGGCTTGGGGTCCAGATCAGGGTGGGAGATAGTTTGGCAGTGGGCCTAGACCAGTGATGGCAAACCTTTTAGAGCTTTCACTGATACAGATACCCCATTGTGAAAGCACACATGCCCCAGGTGTGTGCTAGGCTAGACCTTCGGGGGCCTTGGTGACTCTTGATCCAAGCTGTGTGTCGGCTTTGATTCCTGGAGGCAGATTCAAGTCCTTCTTCCTCTGCCAGGTGAGCTCCATCTGACGCCTTTACATGGCATCCTACAGCTGCGGCCCAGCTTCTCCTACCTGGATAAGGCTGATGCCAAGCACCGTGAGAGGGAAGCAGCCAATGAGGGTGAGTGAGTCTAGATCCTTGGCCCTGCCATTGGTCTCTTTGTCTCTCTGCATCTTGGCAGGCTTGATCATGGGAAAAAGTATTGGAAAGGTCGGATTTTAGGATCCTCTGCAGCATCCTATGCTTCTACCCATTAGATGCCAGAAGTATCTACCCACTCTTGCAATTGAGATAGTCTGTCTGCATTGCTAGGATGTCCCCTGGGAGGCAAAAGTGCGTCCTGTTGAGACGGCTGACTTAATGCAGCTGCCTGTGTCTATGGGAAAATTGCCAGCATACCTTCCTGAGGCCTCCCTGTGGGTGGGGTTGAGCTGGGAGCCACAGGGGCTGCAAATAATGGGAGACTTCTCTTGTTTCTTTTACAGCAGGGGACTCTTCACAGGATGAGGCGGAGGAAGATGTGAAGCAAATCACGGTGAGCTCTGGACTGGGAGGTGAGACAGCAGGGGCTGGAGGGTCTGAGCAGAAGGGACTCACCTCTCTAGGGTGTGACAGGTGTGGAAGGTCTCTGGAGCATCCGTGCTGGCTGCCTAAAGGGAGTAGCCTAACCCTGTTCAGCCTGGCCTATCACCATTATAACAGCATAGTCACTACTGTGTAAAAGGCATTCCTGGAGCTTGGCTGGGAATAGGAAGCTAGAGGCCAGGAGCCCTAGCAAACTCACAGTCTCTCATAGTCTGTGGTAATTACTTAACATGGTTCTGTCCTTTAAGAGATACTCAGATGAGAAGTTTCCATAGTAAGTTATGCCTGAATTTTAAAGATCGTTAGAGGAATATTAACCTTCCTTTAATGATTTATAAGGGTTCTGCATCTAGGCGTGTGTGGGTGAGGTAATGCTGCAGAGGGTGTTATGGGCATGGTTTTAGTCATGTATAGTCGCACATCCCTGAGGACTTGGTGTGGCCTGACCTGACCTGGGCTCTGCTCAGATTGCTGGGTGACCTTACAAAGCTGGTTTCCCTTCTGGGGATTCAGGACCCTTATCTGATAAGGCTGGCCTCATACCTCAAGATTCTATAATCCAGGCGTGGCAGGCAGAGGCAGGAGAAAGCTGCTCTTGGCTTGTGTTGGAGGTTCACAGAGAGGGACAGGGCTGGAACTGAATTTCAGAGGCCTGAGTCAGGAAATGAAGAGGGAGGTGGCAGTGAAAATACTCCAATTTCATGTTTTCTGGTCCTGCCAAGGGCTGGAATGACAGCCCAGGAAGGGCCACTGGCCTGAGTGTGTGACCTGTCCCCACACAGGTGCGGTTCTCCCGGCCGGAGTCAGAGCAGGCCCGCCAGCGCCGTGTGCAGTCTTACGAGTTCCTGCAGAAGAAGCATGCGGAGGAGCCCTGGGTGCACCTGCACTACCATGGCCTGAGGGTAAGTCCCGGGAGTTCTTGGTGTGGCTTCGGCCTCGCTTTCAGTTCACTTCCACTGCTGTCATGAGTAGTTTGTACACCTTACAGCTGTCCGCCTGCTGTTCCCATTGGGATTTTGGCTACTTGGGCTCTGCCAGAACATGAGCATGTCACTAAGCTCTCATGGGTCTGTGTTTGGTTACATGTTTTTCACACACTGTGGCACCCTAGTGTCCTTGTCTGCCATCTGTCATATACTCCGAAGTTCGTGGCTTACCTGCCCGCAGGGAGTTTTATGTATGCTATTCTTATGGTGTGTGTTGACTTTAGAACCTAGCCTTTGAGACTGTGTCAGTTGAATATTAGCTCCCAATGACATCGTGGCTGGAACTCTTAAGTGCTCTCCTGATTTCAGTGGAGCCTTCCTAGAAGAGATCTGTATTGACAGAGTCTTAGGGTCTGACTTCCAGACGCTGCCTGTTTCCTACTATGTGATCTTTTTGTTCATTTTTGAGACAGAGTCTTGCTATGTAGAATAGGCTGGCCTTGAACTCATGATAATCCTCCTTCCTCAGCTGCTCGGGTGCTGAGATTACAGGTGTGTGCCACCACATCTGGTAGTTACTGTGTCATCTTGAACCAGTTACTTAGTCTGTCTGAGCCTGTTTGCTTAAAAAATGAGAAGAGTAAAAACCTCATAGAATTGGGTTGTTATGCATGAGATGCATTAGTATGTATGTGGCCATTAGAATAGAGTCTGGCACACATTAGGTACTTAGTGAATATCAGCTATTATTTTAGTCACTACTGGTCTCAGGTACTGGGGCTGGGCAGCTCATGAAGCCAGGAAAGTAGGTGGTTCAGGCCACGTTGCAGACTTTGGGTACCATGCTCAGAGGTTGACTGTGGCTCTGTAGCTGGCCTTGGAGTAGGACCGGGGTGAGTGAAGTGGGAGATGATGTAGGGGTGCTGAATGGATGGTTGACTGAGCCCTTTTCCCTCTTTCAATAGGACAGCCGCTCAGAGCATGAGCGCCAGTATTTGTTGTGCCAGGGCTCGAGTGGGGTGGAGAACACAGAGCTCATCAAGTCACCCAGGTGGGTCTGGCAGATGCTGGCCCGGGGATCTAGGAGGGTCCTCCCTGGGGATGCAGCCACCTTCTGCGTGGGGAACCATAATGTGGGCTACGAAGGTGGCCTGGGAAGAGGGGCTTCACCTTTGAACCTGCCAGGAGAGGATGGGGCCGTGCTTTGGTTACAGCTTGTGTGCCCAGGCAGGGGAGCACAAGGAAGAGAGCTACAGTGGTTCTGACCCCTGCTCCCTCTTCACAGCGAGTACCTCATGATGCTGATGCCACCCAGCCAAGAAGAGGAGAAGTGAGTAAGGGGCTGGGCACTACCTTGTACCTCCTGCATCCTCCCCCTGCCACTGGCCTCCAACCTTCATCTTTGTTTTCAACAGAGACAAACCCGTGGCCCCCAGCAACGTGCTTTCCATGGCCCAGCTGCGTACGCTGCCCTTGGCTGACCAGATCAAGATATTGATGAAAAATGGTGGGTGCCTCCCTCCCCACCTCAGAGATGCTGGCCCTGCCAGCTGCAGGAGTATCCGGGCAGTCAAGGACCTAGTGGCAAAGCCAGAGGGGCCCTGCTTCCCAGAGGCTACCTGTTTTGCACATCTATTCTTGTTTGGACAGAATGTGCTGTGACATTGCAGTGGACACCCTTGGTGAAGCTCCAAGCTGTCCTTCTTACTTCTTTGCAGTGGGAGCCTGGGCAGGCTGTTGACCTTCTGAGCTCTGATTCATTTGTCCATTAAAAAAAAAAAGCTATAATAATTTTTAGGGAATAAAGGAGGATTTAGAGGTGAGGCTTCTAAAGGGCTTACTACAGAACTTGATATATGACTGTGAACTTGGGTCATTTTCATAATAAAGTGTTTCCACAGTACTGAGGGTTGAACCCCGGGCCTTCACACTGAGATATATATCCTCAGCCCTTTTATTTTCTTGAGACAAGGTCTTATTGAGTTGCCCAGGCTGGTCTTAAATTTGGAGTCCTCTTGCCAAGGCCTCTCAGAGAGCAACTGTACCCAACTCATAATGAAGTGCTTTTCTGTATATTATTTCTTGGTGCCCTCACCAGACAGTACACAATATAGACTGATCTTTAAGGGTCAGAGCATTTATGGGCCTATAGCAGGGGAGTGGCAGACCTGAGCCATGGACTAGGCTGAGTCTCAGGCCCTCAGCTTCTCCTCTGAGGTACCTACATGAGGTCTCAGGGCTTGAGTAGAGATGGAAACTCCTTGCAAGGTGCTAGAATCATAGGGCCCAGCCTTGAATCTGGATCTCTCTTCCCAGGCCTTGCCCCATTCTCACTTGGGGGTCAGCAGAACACAGTGATTAAGGACAGATTCTGCAGCCACATGACCTGGGGTTAAATCCTGGCTGTACTGTTCCCTAGCCAGGTGACTGTGCCTGAGTTTTATAGTCTGAGAAATTACAAAATGTCCTTCCGATGGCACTCACAGTTTTCCTTATTGGATGTTTCCTGAAACCTCCCAGTAGTTCTGTGAGATATACAGTCCTGGGTACACAACTGGCTGATAGTACGTGCTGGCTATTATTACTGTTATTGATGCTATTACTGCATTTCAGCAGGTTGTATGAGCTTGATGTTATGTAGACTTAGGGCCAGGCCTCTCACTCTGTCTAATGAGTCTTCTTCTGTCTGTCTCAGTGAAGGTCATGCCTTTTGCCAATTTGATGAGCCTTCTGGGCCCCTCCGTGGATTCTGTGGCTGTTCTACGTGGCATTCAGAAGGTGGCAATGTTAGTCCAAGGAAACTGGGTGGTGAAGAGGTAGGTTGTCTTCGGGCTCAATTTTCTGTTTACATTCATGACTTACCACACCTTCATATTAATTGTTGATTTTTACTCACTTCAAAGAAAACTCAGAATCTTAGACTATATTTATCCTCTTCCCAACTCCTATGTTACAGTATTTGTATTACAGTATACAAATTGGTTTTCTGTATTTCAAGCTCTCTAGACACAATCTTACCCACTCAGTGTTCTTTAGGTCTATTCCCATAATTACCGTTTTATTTTGCTCATCATTCTGGCATCACCTGAGTTTCTATTTGGCATAATTTCCATCTGCCTAAAAAATACTACAGTATTCCCTTTAATGTGAATCTGCAGGTGATAGATTTCCTTGGTTTTTGTTTATCTGCAAACTTCTTTGAGACAAAGGCCTCGCCATGTGATTCAGGTTGGCTTTGAACTCATGACACTCCTGCCTCAGTCTCCTAAGCACTGAGATTAGAGGAGTGTGCCACAACGCCCAGGGGTTTACTTCATTTTTGTTCTTAAACTGTTTTGGGGACTTACCAAGAATCAGACTCAGGACCTCACACTTGCCAAGCAGGTGCCACAACCCTGAGCTAAATCCTGGGCGCCTTCCATTTTTGTTCTTGAAATATGTCTTGATGAAGTATAGAATTGTAGATTGGTATATACATTGATATAATTTTGTTGTGTTCTGACCTCAGTTTTTATTGACAAATCCATTATCTGTAAATTCTTCTTCTTTTGGAGATAATTTTCTTTCCTTTTTGACTTTTTTTAGTTTCATTGATCTCAATGCAAATTTCTTTTTTACATGGTCTGTCGGGGTTCACAGGTCTTGAATTTGTGTCTCAATTTCCCTTCTAGTATAGTTCTTTTACTATACTACCTCTTCAACCAAACAGTCAATTTTGGGAAAGTAGAGACAGTTTGTCTTGACTCCTCCAAAATCCTTTAACCAGTATGATGCCTGGGTACAGCAGAAACTTGATAAATGTAGTTTAGCTATGATAATATGTACTTGCATTAGAATAATTTTAAATGGTATAAGATGTGAACATTGCCAGATTTTCTTTAAAAGTAACTCATTGCAAAAGTCCATTTTTGGGCTCGGGGGTTTAGCTCAGCAGCGAGAGTGCCTGCTTGGCAAACTTGAGGTCGAGGGCCTAAGTTTGATGCTTAGCCCCCCCCCCCCAAAAAAAAATTTCGTGGTTTGCTAAGCAAATTGTAAAGCATATTCATGTCACTGCCACATGGTGGCGCCCTTTGACTGGTAAACAGATGCCTGGCTTTTGTCCTGATTACCAACTTTTTCCTTACAGAATGGCTTTGCAATAACATGTTGCTTTTTAAGTGGCAGCATGCATGTGCGTTTATGCTGTGAATGATGAAAGTCACAAAGGGCTGTCCCCTCACACACCTGAGGATCCTGGCCCAGAGAGGCACAGAGACTTCCTAGACATCTCACAGCAAGGCAGCCACAGAGCTGGCTTAGAACTAGGGCTTCAGAGTAGGCCTGGATGCTACCTAGTGCCACATGTGCCCTGGGAGTTATGTTTATCCCTGGAGCTTGGAGGCAGGTACTCTGGGGCCTGAGTGTTTTGCCTGCCTCAGGTGCTTCTGTAAGCCCTGCTCTAAGGGCTAAGGCTGCCACACCATAGGGCTCTAGGGCAAGTTCTCCTTATATGCCTGTGAAATTAAAACTTACACCTTCATTGAGTGACCGCCCTCAGCTGCATATTTTGTGCTGTAAAAACTTTGAGTACCCTGCACGCACAGATCCACGCCACATACCTGACTCCCTGACCACTTAGTGAATGCTGGCTCGTTGTGTGGCAGCCAAGTCCCCAGCCTCAGGCCCTTATGGAGCCCAGCCTTACAGAGATATCACGGGGCTGGCTGGGCAGTGCTCAGTGCTCCTGGACGACAGGGGCTGTGACTGGAGATGAGATTAAGGCCGGGCTACAGAGACTCTTTTGTTCCTTGGTGCCCTGCTCATGCACCTTGGGTGCTTACCTTGAAGTCCTCTGGGCCTTGCATGTCTGTCCTGTTCTCTCCAAAGCCTTACATTCTTTGTCCCAGGGCATTTACCTGTCCAGGCTCTGAACTCCTCAGCTCATCCTCCCACCTGTGAGCAGCTGTCACAGGCCTTGTGTCAGCTCTAGCTTTGCTTTTTCCTGCTACCACACACACTCACACATGGGACTGAGTATTCTAAAGAAGCTTGGCCTCCTTACAGTCTCATGCTTGTCTCTGAGCCCCTGGCCTTTCTGTGGGCCTTGCTGGTTTGTCAGTGGAGAAGGGATTGAGGTAGAATGAAGCACTCCACAGCGGGGTGAAGGCTGCTGCTCTCCTACATATGTGTTTATGGTGCCAGGTCCCTGAGGAGGGCTGCAAGGCTCAGAGCAAGTATAACTTGTCCTCCAAAATTGGGACAAGGACCTGGCCTAAATTGTTTACTGCTGCCACAGTAGACAAGGTATCCACTAAGAATGTGTTGAACCAGTGAGTTGGGAGCATAGTAGGGAAGGGTGTGTGGACTATGCTGGGCTCAGACCAAGGCAAGCACCAACCGCCACCCCAACTTGCTTTGGCAGTGACATCCTGTACCCTAAGGACTCGTCCAGTCCTCATAGCGGCGTGCCTGCTGAGGTGCTCTGTAGGGGCCGAGATTTTGTTGTAAGTACCTTGGGCTTTCTGAGCTCTTGGGGTGCACAGGAGGGTGGGGGTAGCACAGGTTTCTGAGGACGATGGCCGCATTACAGTGAGGCAAGTGTGTGAGGAGGCCTCGATGTAGGGCTCTGGACTCTGCCTTCCCCCTCCTCCTCCTGTGGAATCTCTGGCTCCCTTCTGGACCAGCAGCATGGTTCACTTGGCTAGGTGATTTTTTGAAGAATTTTGCCTATGTTATTGATTTGTGTAGATCGAAGTTTTGGCATAAATCAGCTGTCATGAGTATTTGGGTAGTGTGACACTGCTGGGACATCAGCCCCAAGTGGCACTGAGTGTGGTCGGGACTGACGGTCCCACCTTCCCCATTCCCGCCTGCTCCATCTGCATCCCCAGCCTCAAATCCATGCTGCTGGGATCAGCACTGCCTTCCTAGACCTCACCACTGTGCTTCAAGTTTGCTGAAATGTGTCCACTTGTTGCTGCCCTCTGGATCTTCGACATGCTCACATGTAGCCTTTGTCACAGGGAGCTCTTACGTGCTTGAGGAGTACCCATGTTTCCTTTTCCTGACTGGGTACTACCAGCTCTTTTAGACAGTGGCCAAGGACCTGAGCAGGGTGTTATTAGTTCTAGGGATCAGAGTGTCTTTAGCCTCAGCTGGCCCTGCCTGCTCCTCATTTCCCTAGTTGTGCAAACGCTGTCACACAGTGGCCTGGGTCACTAAATGCGTGTCTCAGACATCCATGCACATCTCCAGGCACCTCCATGATGTGAGGCCTGGAGGGAGCAGAGGCAGCATGGGGCTGCAGGGTACTGTGAGCTTCTAGCAAGTGCAACAGATGTTAGCAGCCACTCTTCTGGGGTGCTGCCAGTGCCAAGAGCCTGAGGGCCCCAGCTGCAGGGTTATCTCCCTGAAGCCTCAGGGCCATGCTGGGGGTACAGTGGGGAACCAGTGGGCCAAACCCTCTGCCCTGGGGAGTGTATGTTCTGGGGGGTGGGTTGGCCTGGCTATTGAAAATGATATGAACAAAGCACCTAGCAGAAAGCAGAGACTCAGTGGAAGTGAGTGCCCAAGACATATGGTGAGGAGCAGGGCCAGGAGCTCATCCCAGGTCTGTCTGATGCCCAAGTGTGAAGCCACCCTTTGTGCCCTCACTGAGACCCCAAGATCAGTCTTAGGAGAAGCCGTGGAACGTGCTGCTTTTTTTCCCTCAGATGTGGAAGTTCACGAAGAGTCGCTGGGTGGTAAGGAAAGAGGTGGCAACAGTGACCAAAGTAAGTGGTGTTTCTGGTGACCTGAGCCCCAGGGCCTGCTGCTGGAGGGGAACAAGAGCTGGCTGAGCCTCTCCTTCCCCCTGTTGCTCCCCATTAGCTCTGTGCCGAGGACGTGAAGGACTTTCTGGAGCACATGGCCCTTGTGAGGATCAACAAAGGCTGGGAGTTCATACTGCCTTACGACGGGGAGTTCATCAAGAAGCACCCAGATGTGGTCCAGAGGCAGCACTTGCTGTGGATGGGCATTCAGGCTAAGTATGAACCGGGGGTCCCTTGTGCCCTGCTTCTAGGGCCAGGTGCTCCATCTGAGCAAGATGCTCTGCCAAGGAGGCATATTGGGGCCTGTGTGCACCTCTTCCCTCTACCAAGCACACATTGCTGGCTGACCCCAAATCCAGTAGGGACCCTGGTGTCAGAGCTGACATGTTCTAGGAGGTTGGAGAGCAAGCTTGGGCCCCAAGGAGAGTAAGTGGACTCGAACTGATAAAGGGAGGAGGCTGGACTTTACTACCCATTGTGGCCTGGGTGCTCCGAGTGGACAAGGAGTCTGTAAGGGAGAGGGACCTGGCCAGGCTCCGAGCCTATGCCGCTTCAGTGACCAGAATGCCTGGGGCTTGCAGGCTTGCAGGCTTGCCTCTGTTGTGAGGCAGGTGGTAGGAGACATTGCTGAGAGTTAAAAAGGTTTATTCTTTTCAGATTAGAAAAGGTGTATAATCTTGTAAAGGAGACATTGCCAAAGAAGCCGGATGGACAATCAGGTATGTGGAACTGTGAGCTGGGCAGGCCTGCAGCATGGACGCTCATGCTCCAGAATGGGGCTACCCTTGTAGAGTGGGTCAGAGCCTGGGCCTAGAGAAAGAAAAATATGGATCTCAGTGTTCACACACACACACACACACACACACACACACACACACACACACCCCCCGCACATTAAGGATTGAACCTGAGGCCTCACATGTTCGGCAAGCACTCTTATCACTGAGCTACTGAGCTACAGCTTTGTTTGTTTGTTTGTTTTTCGTGTGTGTGTGTGTGTGTGTGTGTGTGTGTGTTTTGTTTTGTTTTTTTTTTCAAGAAAAGATCTCACTAAGTTGCCCAGGCTGGCTGCAGACTTACGGTCCTCCTGCTGCAGCTCCCAAGAAGCTGTGATTATAGGCAACCGCTACCACACCCAGCTTTCTAGTCACCCTTCCAGTTCCCTTTCTGCCCCACAGCCTCAGCACCTGAGGTCTGCGCACTTCATTGCTGCATCTGATTCTGAGATTTAACTTGTTCTGTTGGGTCAGCGGGTGGCAGGATGAGAGGAGCTGCTAACCTAACTCAGCAGTGACCTATTCCTGTGTGATTTGACTGTGAGAACTTGATTTCCTAGTCATTTCTTCCCTCATTATTGGGATAGCTGAGTTCTCCCTGAGAAGGTAAAGGTGAAAGCACTTGGCCCTTTACTGCTGTCCCCAGTCAGCTTCTGTCTTCAAGTCTTTGCCTGCCTGGGTTCCGTGCTTTCCTGTGTAATGCTGTCTCTCCCACAGGGCCTGCAGGGCTAGTATCAGGGGACCAGCGGATAGAAGCAGCCAAGACCAAGGCTCAGCAGAACCACACCTTCCTGGAGCGGGAGCTGCAGCGGCGGAAGGAACAGCTCCAGGCATCCACAGTCCTGCCCAGTGTGCACATCAAAGAGGAGCCCCTGAGTGAGGAGGGAGAGGAGGAGGATGAGCAGGAAGCAGAGGAGGAGGAGGAACCCATGGACACTGCACCCAGTGGTAGTCTCAACAGGCTGACCAATGGGCTGCCTGCCGGGCAGGCAGGAGGTGGGGACAGCTTCAATGGGCACCCACCCCCAGGGTGTGCCAGCACCCCTGTGGCTCGGGAACTGAGGGCCTTTGTGGAGGCCACCTTTCAGAGCCAGTTTGTGCTCACACTGAGTGAACTGAAGCGCCTCTTCAACCAACACGTGGCCAGCCTGCCCCGTGGCCACGTGCTCTTTAGTGGCATCTCGGACCACATGCTACAGGACACGGTGCTGGCCGCTGGCTGCAAGCAGATACTCGTGCCTGTAAGTACAGCCTGTGCCTGCGAGGACAGGCAGACAATACAGGGCCACCCAGAGCCCTTGGGGAGGGCAGCACCTTTTCTGGCTGCAAAGCACCATGGGGAGAAGTCTGCCCAAATTCTGTCTGCTCTGAGGAAATCACTTATTTAGAGGTTGCATGGGAATGTGGAAATCAGGGGACAACCTTGGTGTGATTGTTGCTTTCCTGTGGTGGCCATTTGTGACTGTGGGCAAGTCAGCCTCAGAAGGGCTGTGTGTCCTTTGGAGGCCCTGACCAGCTGCCTGCTCTGCAACAGGCCTCAGGTAACAGGTACTATCCTGCAGCCAACCACACAGGAAGTGGCAGAGATGGAATCTGTACCTCAGTAGAGTGGCTCCATTTTTTCCTTCAGCTGAGAAAAGGGAGCATCTCCCTCACACTGGCTCAGAAGCTAGCTGACCACATAGGCCATGTGGCCCCTCCACATTTCTGTCTCCAACCCCGAGGGTGACAGAGCACACCACTTCTACTCTAGCTTTTGTATCAGTGGGACAAATGGAGATTCAGTGTGTGTCAAGATTGGTGACAGAGGGCCAGGGATTTAGCTCAGTGTGTGAGCGCCTACCTGGCAAGTGAGAGGTAATGAGTTCAATCCCCAGTACCCCCCTCACCTCCCCACCCTACTCCACCCCTGGCAAAAAAGATTGGTGACATAGTGGAGGTTGAAGACACACTAGCTGCAGCCTAAGAGAGGCAGCGTGGTTGTTCTGCACTCCCAGTCCTAGCAGCAAGTGAGGCAGGGTGGGGTTGTGACTTTATTCTTAAAAAGGAGGCATGGGCTTGTCCATTACCAAGGGGGTAACCGCCCTACCCCAGGCCATGTTTGGAGGCTGAGGCCTGTATCTGTGTGCCTGAGGAACAGAAACTGGGACAGGAGGCCCTGTGGATCTCATGCTAGCTGGCTGCCTCAGGGGGTCTGGCCCTACTGGCAAAGAACCTTCTTAGTTCCATTTGATCATCTGATGATCAAAGAGATACCATATCAAGCTTTATACAGAGTGATAATTAGTGTTACTTGTGTAGTGAAACCAAGGGTCCCCTTTCTCTGTCCCTCTCTGCACATATTAGACCGATGCCACTCTTTTCATGGGCTCCCTGCCAACCCTGCTGTGCAAGTAGTGTGGATGTTCTGGGAGTTGGACAAGGCCCCTAAGCCACACTTAATGTGATCCTTCCGGGAACTAAATGAAAGGAAGCCCTGGGATATCCCTATAGAGTGATGGGGAATGGGACACCCCATGGGATGCATCTGAAGGTTAGCACCTTAGGGCAGGAAGACTCCAGATGCTAAAGCAGAGTTGAGCTAAGGCGACACTGATGTCAAAACTGGAAGAACCCAGTTTTCCTTATCCCAAGCACCTGCAGGCTTCCTGTGCATGTAACCACCTCTTGCAGAAGTCCCGTCAGGATCCCACAGCCAGAGAGTGGCAGGATCTGGGATTGGAACACAGTTTTCCAGAACTGTGCTGGTGCAGGCAGCAGGGGTGAGGTGGGTAGGGAACTGTGGCCGTGTGGCAGATGATCAACTCATACCTGCTTGTTGGTCAGTTTCCCCGACAGACTGCTGCTTCCCCTAATGAGCAGAAGGTATTTGCCCTCTGGGAGTCTGGAGACATGAGTGATCAGGTAAGGTGACCTTCGCTGCGGTCTGTGTTAAAGGGGTAGGGGATAGAGACTGGGGATTTAGCTCAGCAGCATAAGCGCCTGCCTTGCAAGCAGGCAGTCTCGAGTTGCATCCCTGGTACTAATAAAAAAAAAAAAGGGAGGGGGTAGAAGGAGTCCTTAAAAGTTAACACTTTTGAGAGCTGTGTACAGGAAAACAGTCATGCACTATTCAGGTTTTCCAGCCTCTCCCGCACTCCCCTTGACCACTCTCTGCTTGTCTGCATGCCATAAAGATCACCTGGGCAGGACAGTAGTTTGAGCCTGAACTTGTGGATCCCTCACCGTAGAGATTGGGAACTGACTGCGTCAGAATTACTTTTGAAAAAGCAGATTCCCTGCATGTACCTTGGATACTCAGTTCCTTTCAGTTATGGGGTAGAATTCTAGGTATTTGAAGTTTCTACACAGCTTCCTGGGGGACTGTGGCATCTAGATGAGCTTAGAAACCAGAGAGAGAGCACATTTTTCAGCAGCCTCTGGCAGCAGGAATTTTATCTGGTTTCTGGCCCTGAATTTTTAGGTTAGAGAAATTGGTCATTTTGTCTCTAGTCACACGTGGTAGAGAGGGTCCCAGATGTCCAGTGGACTGAAATGGGAATTACACCAGTGGTGCCCTCTGTATAGTGCAGAGCCAAGGGTTTGAGGTTCAAAGCTTTTAAGCCATGAACTGCCTGAACTATAAAGATTAAGGTTTGAGTGCTACTAAAGTACCAATCAACGTGAGAAAGGGAGAGTTCTCTCCCCCTTTTACTTACAGAGGGAGCTGATGGGCAAACTGGGAATAGGAGTGGGTAGCTGGGTGTCACCTGGCCTGTAAGGTGGGAATTATGCCGCTCAACTTCAAATGAGCCTTGCTTTTGGTCAGAACAAGTGGCCTTTGGCTTTTCTACCCCTGAAACACTGATAATTTAAAGAAACTAGTAGGTGCATTAAAAAAAAAAGCTAGCCATGGTAGCATATGCTAAGTGGTCAAAACTCAGGAGGATTGCAGGTTTGGGTTGTACTTGAGCAATTTTTAAGAGCTGGGATGTAGCTCAGTGTTAGTGTTCTTGAGTCTTCCCCTACCCCGTCATCAAATAAAACTAAATCTTTATCAGGATATGGATTCCAGCCCTACCCAGCCTCATTCCCCAGATGTGACCACTTAGCGCCATTCTAATGTACAGACATGTCTGTGCTGCTGTTGGAGGTACAGCTGGCAGCTGTTGATCGGCTTCCTGCGGTGGTGGTTAGTTCTCCACTGTGTTGGGAGAATGTATAAAGCTATAGAGTAGCTTAAGACTACTTTGAAGTTCAGTCGGTCATTATTGTCTATAGCATGATTGTTCATAATAGGACCAAAGGTCAGTAGTGTATTGTGTGACTGCATTTCTTTACCACTTCCTGTTTTCACTTGCATGATGCTCTGGACACATGCCAGCAGTGACACCTTTCTTGAGTGTGATACCCTAGAAGTTTCTGTCAATACCTCCTGCTTTTCCTTACCTTGGTTTCTAGAATCTTGGCTTCCTCCTTGCTTTATTTTAGCTTCTCAGGGGTCAGAGGAGTTGCCTGCATTCTTTCAAATTTTCAAATGTTTTTCGTTTGCCCTCAAATATTATCATTTGGGACTAGAATTTTAAAGGACAAGTCATTTTCTCTCTGAATAAAAGGTATCTTTCCCTTTTACAGTTGTCAAAATTCGGTGATGTTCTTTTTGGTCTTTTAAATTTGACCCTATCCTTTCCTTTATCAAAAGCTAAAGTGTTTTACATTATTCTGTATATTGGCAAATTCATGCCTACCCTGAGTTTACTATCTTAAACAGTTGGATTGTTCTTAGAAAATCCTATGAGTTGATACTTCCCTTATCTTTTTCTGCTTCTTTAGATTTATGTTGGATGCTGAACACACTAGTTTAGTCTTTTCTCATTTAACAGTTTTTATGTCTGTGATGATTTCAACACCTTTGTAATTATCTTGGGGCATAATGGATTTGCTGTCCTGTTTTATGGATGTGATACATTTGTTAAGACTTATAGTCAGTTTTGACACGTTCATTCTTATCCAAGTTTCCAGGCAGTTCAAACTGTGGCTTTTTCCCTGCTACATTAGTTAACACCCTTGTCAAGCAAAAGTATGTCTAAGTTCCTGATCCCAAGTCCCTTCACCAGCTCTTTTATGAACATATACCTTGGCTGGGATCTGGAGAGAAGATAAATTAACCAGATTTGCTTATCTTTAACAGAGGTACTAGGCAAGGATTTTAACAGAATGCAATGTGGGGTTAGGTGTCTCTTACTTGGGAGTGTTTCAATTTTGGGGTACTATTTCCCATAATAACATATTTTTACTACTAAAGCATCGACAGGTTTTGTTTGAAATTTTTTCCAAAAATTACCGAGTACGCCGTAACATGATCCAGTCCCGTTTGACTCAAGAGTGTGGAGAAGATCTAAGCAAACAGGAGGTGGATAAAGTGCTAAAGGTGTGTCCATTTTGTGCACAGCCATACTCAAAGGCTGTGTGGCTCAGTTCTGAGTGTTGGCATATATAAAAGAGGGTGAGAACAAAAGAGGATGCCCAATGGAAGGAAAGCTTCCAGTTTTTCTGCCCAATATGTACATGTTGAATAAAGCAAACCTCCTTAGGACCCTCCCCAGCCACTCTGACGGTCAACATCTAGCAGTGATTGGCATTGGTTGGGGGCCAGGATGTTTTGCTGGGTCACCTTCCTCATCCTCTAATCTTGAAGGCTGAGATTAGAACCCTGGCTACACTCATGTGAAAGTTCAGTATATTACCTGGATTACCTGGAATGCTTTTCTGAATTGTGGTACAAATATACTTGTAGGAACATTGTAATTCCCTATATTTGGGGCTACTTAAACCTTCAAGGTTGTGTGTACAAGTGATATGCATCTTTGTTTTGGCCAACTTAGTAGTTTTATGTTTTGTAAATATCCCCAAGGAAAGGGTGGCCAAAGGACCAAACCACTGGGGAAGAGAATAGGAACTTACACAGCTGTAATTAGGTAGTTCCTGATTATTTATATTCTATCCACTAATCATAGGTTCAGTTTTAAAATTCTGGACAGAAGGCAGTAGCTACCTTTCCTGCTGAAACCTGCCTGCAACAAGTTTTTCTCTGTTTCCAGGACTGCTGTGTAAGCTATGGTGGAATGTGGTACCTTAAAGGGACAGTACGGTCTTGACGACACTGGCAAACCACTAACAGTAAACCCAAAGCCAAGGCGAGGATGGCACAGCCAGAAGTCCGAGTCTTGACTTGCTTGAGAAGACACAGAGCAAGAGGAACTGCACAGCTCAGGGCCTGTGGCACTGCATGGTCCAGGAGACAGAGGGGATCCTACACAGCTGGTGGCACTGCCAGCTTATGTGAGATCTCTCCTAGAGAGACCGGCCGGACCTTCTTCGCAGTACAATTGGAAATTCCTGGTGTATTTTGCTTATTAATTGGTTTCATTCTCATAATAAAGAGTACACTGATGTGGGAAGGATGATGAAAATCATGGTTTAATATTTTCCTTTTTAAACAATGCCAACAAAGTCAAAGTTTATGTTTACAAGATGAAGAAAACCTCAAGGTTTTTAATATTTAAAATGCCTAAAAGCCAATATTTAGTCTTAGATCATCTGTTTGCTAAGACTTCTGCCAATTTCATTAAACCAAATTGAATTGTTTTACAGTCGGTCTCTGTGGCCACTTTACAACAACCTACTTTATGTAGCAGTCCCAACTGTTTACATGAACCGTGGCAAAAAAATTAGAATCAAATCCATCTGCTCTTGATTTGCATAAAGATGTAAGCAAAACCAGGTAAGTATAGAACAATGTATAAATGAGGTTATCAAACTTTGATGTACAAAATTTATATTTTGTGTATTTTTAAAATAAATGCTAACACTAACCTGGCAACATGGTGCTGTTATGTTCAAGTGGTCATAGGCAGGCAACATAGCACTGTCGGCATTACGTGTACTAAAGCATTAAAATATAATTTTTAAAAGTTTTACTTTTTTTTTTGTACTGAGTCTTCAAAATCTGGCATTAAGTTTGACTAACTATCCTTTATGTGCTCAGCTGGCCAAAGTGAGCATCCTGGATTGCACAGCCTTTGCCAGTGGTAGAAAAAATATGAGCCGAGTTGGGTGAGATGTGAATTTTGCTTCATAAATAAAGTCTTTGCTATAGTCCATGCAGTACAGCCATGACTATCCAACAATCTAAATGGTCTGTGCTGTCACCCCCCCCCATCAGAAATATATTTTTGCCATAAATCACTAAGCCATTGATTGGGATGTATTTACCAAATAAATATTTGGTAACATAGTTATATATTATGGTCTTGGTTCTAATTGTTAACATGCATGGGCCTGAAATGAGTAAACAAGGACCAAAATTGATTGGGAGTACATCTTGGCCATTACATATCAGTAACGTTCCTGTCTTTGAAAGGAGAAGCCCCTCAGCGGAATGGCACAGAAAATATATTTGTGCTACAATGTAGTAAACTTACTGGGCTTAGTGCTTGGCAAGGAAACCCCAGCCTTAAATACTTAAAATTGATGGAGAAAAAGAAATGAGTGGAAACATTGAATTCAGTTTGCTAAACAAACTTACTCTAGGAAAAAAGTGTTTTAAAAAAACAAAGGAATTTGAGCTCTCAAGATGACAAAACAGGATTTTTTAGCACTCAGCCTTTCCCTCCAACAGCAATTTGAACAAGTGTAGTAACTACACGTAAAAATAAGTTCACAAGAGCTAAGGAAACTACAGCACCTGGGTATAGATGGACTGAAGGGTAGTTAAGAGCAGTTTCACATTACCCATACCAACCCTCCCCAGTTCCAGGCAATGTAGCAAAGAAAGTAACAGCCTCATGGGGGACACAGCGAAATAAGCATGGAACTTAGCCTTGGACACCAAGACCAGACCCGCCCAGTGATTTGTATCCGCGCCACCCCAGCACTGGGCCAATCTCTAGGTTGACCCTCGCAGACTCAAGAGTTCAGGCCATCACAATGGACTGGACCATATGCAGCATTATCCAGGCCCCATATCTATCCCTGGGCTCCAGTGCCAGAATAGTACCTCAGGCACCAAGAAACATGTGTTTCAAGCATATCCGGAGTTAAGACTCCGTTCTGCAGGTCCATGCCTCACAGCCCAAGGCCTAGGCCTCTCCCAGTAAGTTTCAGCACTGAGCAGCCACCAAGGTTCCAAACCAAGGCTTCAAAACTGCCCCTAACACATACAACCAGTCTCTAGACAAGTTGATCCCTAAATTTGAAGCCTGCACCCCCAGCTCACCATTAGAATCCAATCCCATGCCCACAGATACAATCAACTAGTTCACCCCAATGGGTCGGTCCAGGGCCAACTCTGTATACCTCAGCACCAGGCCCATCTACCCACTGACCTGCCCCAGTAGTAGGCCAGCTGCCTGGCTCCAGCAAAGTGCCTGCTTACGAGCCAAACCAGATGTCTTGTCCAGAATTTCAAGTAAAGGGCCTTCTCGACAGTCTGAAAAACTGGAACAAGATCTTATTTCTTACCTGCGCAGCTAGCAGTGCACAGCCACGGGAAAGTGACACCACCAAAAGAATAAAGTTAAGCACCTAAACTTACTATAAAGAAGTTTATGAACTGTCAACTTCAAACTTGGCAAACTCCAGGAAAATTAAGGTAAACAAGATCAGAGAAACCTTAGGCAAAACAATTTTTTTCTGAAAAAAATTAAATGTTGAAGCTGAAAAGCATACCAATAAAACCAAAAAATGAAGTATGTATGTCAACAGCAAAAAGCAAGCAGAAAACCTGAATTCAAAGATTATTTAGAAACAGTCAAAGGAGGAAAATTGAAAGGCTTACAGAATTTATGAGACAGCATTATAGCAACTGGTCAAGTTACAGGGGTTAGGCATGGTGGTACATACCTGTTAATTCCAGCACGTGCAAGGCTAAGACAGTCTGGGGCCAGCCTGGTTGTACAGTAAGACTATCAAACAAGAAGTGAATGAATGTTATTCCAGCGTTTGGGAGGCCAACGGTGGAAGACTGCCTTGAGTTCAAGGCCACCCTGGGTTACATCAGCCAGTTGTTGCAAACAACCACCTACCCCCGCAGAAAGAAAAAAACAAGGAAGGAAGGGACTAGGGAGGGCAAGCAAGAGCTGGAGTCAGAAAGGATGGCTACTCTTAAGAGTAGAAAGCATATTTTAAAAAATAGCCGAGTCTAGACATGGTGGTTATCTGTAATGCTAGCTATTCAAGAGGCTGAAGCAGGAGGACTGTAAATTCAAGGCTGACTTGGATAAATTTAGAAGAACTTCAATCTCAAAATTAAAAAAAAAAAAGGAAGCCAAGAAGGTACTCCAGTGTCTAACATGCATTAAGGCCTTGGGTTCAAACCTCAGTTCAAAACAAAACAAACCTGTGAGTGGTGGTGCTTGTATTGTCAGCACTTGGGAGGCTGAGGCAAGAGAATCAGAAGTTCAAGGTCAGTCTGAGCTACACACATAGTTCAGGACAGTGTGGACTCAACAGCAAAACTGCCTCAAAAACAAAGACGAAAACTTTCTAAATTTGAGGAAAGATAAATCCAGATATAGGAAAGTCAAAGGTCTCCAATCAGAGTCTGTGTCTTACTCTTCTTGTTGCTGGGAAAAGTACCCAGCACTTATAAGTTAAAGGAGGAAAAGTTTATTTTAGCTCATAGTTTATACAGGTTTCAGTCAAGTGGGCCGGAAACAGCAAGCCTTCCTTCCCCTTTTTTCCATCCAGGCTAAAAGCTTATTGGTTGGTTCCACCCATATCTAGGGTGGGTCTTCCCATTACCCACACCCAGAACTATGCTAAACCAATCAGTAGACAAATTTATAGTTATCACATCCATAATCTACCTTTTGAGATCTGAATTCTGTTGTATAATAGTGATTATAGTCAGTGGATTATCTTGAAAATTGCTAAGTGAAATTTTAGTATTCTTACCACACATATGTATGATATAAAGCATGTTAATTAGCCATTCCACAATGTATGCATATTTCAAAACATTGTATACAACAATGAAGATAATTTGCCAATTAAAAGTATAAAACTAATGAGGTAAAAATGTAAAATGAAACTAAAGCATACTAATATTTAATCTGAAGGAAAATGTCACAGCATCTAAGCAGATACATTGAAAAAGGAAAAACTGCAGAGAAACTGGTTAAAATATGAATTAAAATTTACCAGAAACAAAATTGCAACAGGTCATTTATTAAAGAGTGAAAGGCCTAGATAATATGGTTCAGTTACACCAAGTCTTTTAATGCATACAAAAGTTTAAACTTCAGCCTGTAAAGAAAAGCCTCCTAATTCTTATGAAGCATTGGTTTAAAAACCTCACATAATAGCATATGAATTAAAAACCTTAATAGCAGAAGCATGTGAAATAACTTTACCATCACAGATATATGCAAGGGGAATGGTACTAGAAATAACTACCACACCAGAAATGCAAGGACACCCAGTTATACAGCTTATGCCATTAATAGGTCAAGTGAGAAAAAGCACCTACTGGCAGGGGGTTTCCGCCTGGCAAGTGTGAGATCCCGAGTTTGATTCCTATTTCCACACCCCAAAAGAAAAAGCACTTTCAGATAAAAAAGTGTAATTCAGTTCAACAGCATTTTAAGAGCAGTATCATCATGATCACATTATTTTTAGAATGCAAGAATGTTTCAACACACACAGATTGATAAGACAGACCAAAAAAATCATCTGAATAGATTCAGAAAAAGCTCTGGTCAAAATTCAACTCCTTCATATTAAAAAGCCTCAATAAAGTAGGACTTAGAAAGATGGTAGCTCGACATGAACAAGGCCTGTATGACAAGCCCACAGCAAACATCATACTCAATGGGGAAAAAGATGAAAGTTTTTCTTCTAAGACCAGGAAACAAGAATACAAACTCGTACCTCTGTTCAAGTACAGTGCTGGGGCACTCAAGGCAGAGCAATGCGGTAAGAAAAATAAAAGGCCTCCAATTGGAAACAAAAAGTCAAATTTGGCAGATAGCATGATTTTACATGTAGACAACCCAAAGAAATACACACAATGCAAAAATTCACAAATTATAAAAACATAAAAATCAGCATTTCCATGCATTTACACTAGTCAAGATATAATTCCACTTATCATAGCATTAAACACACAAAGGCAGGAGAAAGGAAAAGGCTGCAGAAAGAAATGAACCAGCCTGCTTTGGATCCCATTTTCTTGCCTAGATCTGTGGCAAAGGGTAAGGCAAGAAACAGTTGGGACAAAATCTGTCTGAGTTAAGCAATAGCCCAGGACCAAGATGCTCAACCCTAAATACAATGGGAAAGGTAATCAGGTAACTCAGCTGACACACAGTTCATCCCTGGCATGTGCCCATGGTCTTCTGCAACTCCTGGCAGACCCTAACTCCAGTTCCTGTTGCTGACTGCATATTTGACCCCCATGGGCTTTGGATCTCCCATCAGTTTCTCTAAGGGCCATAAGAGGTAGAAAGAAAAAATTCCACCACCAAATGGAAGGACTGTCAAGCTGCTCATGGGCAGGAGTCACACCTCAGACCAAAACTCTCAATCCCACCCCAAATTCTAAGGCTAAAAACCCTTACCAAGCACTTTCAGGGGTAAAGGCTCTTCTCACTGGTCTGCTCCCACTCTGTGGAGGTTGTTTTGAAATAGGGTCTCATTGCCTAGCTCAAGCTGGCCTTCTGCCTTGGCCTCAGACTACTGGGTCTACAGGCATGCACTGCTGCACTCAGATATCCTGTGGAGGTTTTGTCTTTTCTTTCAAGTAATTGCTTGGTGTGGTGGCTGTGGCAGGAGGATTGTTGCAAGTTCAGGGACAGCCTAGGCCACATAGTGAGTTTAACG